ACTCTTTCCTGAAGATGTATTCACTGTCCTAGGGCACAGAGTTCAGATGCCTCCTCCAGGGAGCCTTCTGTAACCCTCTCATGCTAGCTTAGGTCTCCTCCTTCTCTGACCCTCTCCATGCCTGTGTGGCTCTTCGTGTTTCATCTTGTGTTGTATGCTATGTTCCCTCCCCACCCTGCCTTTGGAAGGTAGTGGCAGTATCAGAACCATTCCGAGCCCACAGTACCCACCATAGAGCCTGGCACTAAGAAGCCATCCGTGTGTATCTAGTGAAAGAGTGAAAAAATGAGTGGAAGTTGCAGAGGATGCCAGGGTAGGGTAGGGTGTAGTGGATGAGTAGGCCTGGAGGGCTTCCTGCAGGAGGTAGAATTCCAGCCGGGCTTGATGGATTAGGGAGTAGGGGGAAAGGTGGGAAGAGGGGACTTGAGGCTGGAAGCTAGGAGAGAATTGCTGTTCGCTGAGGGTGCAGGGGCCAAGCTCTGTGCCAGGCACCTTGCGCGTGTCTGCTACTGCTCTCCGTAGTCAGCCCCTGAGGTAGGCTTTCCTTTGACTGTTGACAGAGCAGGCACCAAGGGCCGGAGTAGAGAGTGAGCTACAGCCCGTGGTCACAGTTAGGAGCCAGACAGGCAGGACTCCAGCCCAGGGGCTCCAGCAGCCTGCCAACCAGTGTCCTGGGCAGCTGGAGGTGGGAGGGAGTGCTGAATACGTCTGAACAGGGACAGGTATACATCCTAGCGTGTGGGTGGGGATGTGCTTGGAGGTAACTTAGTGCAATGTGTTCATTTCTTGTACTGTGAGACTGAGGCCCTGCAAGGGGCTAGGACTCTCCTTGGGGACACCAGTGAGCGGCAGGCCCTGGATGAGGGCCCAGGTCTCCCGCCTGCCCGTTGGATGCAGTTCCCACTGCACCATGCTGCTGGGGACTGCTTCTCCCTGCGCCTCGGCTGGGTCTGGAGTCAGCTGGACCTGGAGAGGGAGCCTCAGACTGGGGCTCTCCACTGACCTAGGTCCTGGCAGAGACCACTCAGGTACTGGAGAGGAGCCTGCCCCATGCTACCCCTACACACCACCCCCTCCCCCAGCTCCCAAGGAGGCTCCCTCCTTCATTCCTAGACCTTCCTGCCCCTGTGCCCCTACCCCTATTCACGGTGACTTCCTCTAGGGCCTGGTGGAGAGCTGTGCCCAACTCCCAGCCAATCCCAGTGGCCAGGGACTGGTATAGCTCAGATGCCAAGACTGGGGCCAGGGTCTCCCCCCACCAGGATGTTGCACAGTGTTAGACAAGTGGGGAGATCAAGTGGGCCTGCCCTCAGCATCCTTCAGGGCCCAGCCACTCCACCCCCAGGCCTGGGTTCTGCAGCAGGAAAAACCGGGGCAGGGCTGGGCGCAGGGGTGCTCGAAGCTGGGATACCCTGGGGCACAGGGTGCTGTCATCACCAGGGAGGGGAGAACTGGGGAGCTAGCCTTCTAAAGTGGTCAGGGAGGTGGGACTGTGTTGGACTCGGGGGACGGTTGGGCATGCCAGGCTCCCTGGGGCTGCAGGCAGGGAAGTGCCATGGGAGAGGTGGAGCAGGCCGGAGCAGGGAGGGCTGGTGCCCTGCAGCCCCACCTGTGATGTGGGGAGGTCGCCTGGGGTGCTGAGGAGAGGAGCCGGAGGCCACACCAGCAGCAGGTTCTGGATGCCCAAGCCAGCCTGAGGCCTGGAGTGGCAGGGCTCAGCGCTGGGCACCCCTCCAACCGGCTGGGGGTGCTCTTCTGGGGATCTTTGGTCCCAGGCCTGGGTCAGGATTTGGACTGTGGTCTCCTCTGCGGGGCCCTCAGAGTGTGGCTCTCTGGGAGGAGCCTGCTGCTTGCCCTCACATGCTCCAGCCCCTTCCCCTGAGCCCTGGACTCCTCCGGGAAGCCTTCTAGGCTGCTCCCCTCCCGGCTCCTTCCACCAAGCGCCTGGAGTTGCTCTGCCTGCTTTTGTGTTTCCTGGTTGCCCGCTCCGTTGGGAGCTCCCAGGCCAGGCCCGGCGCCTCCCATTCCTGCCCCCAGGCCTGGTAGGGAGGAGCGGGTGGATGGGGACTTCCCTTCTTCCTCAGGGACTGGAGCAGCCTGGCTGCTGAGGGGTGGGTATGGGCGGGGTGCTGTCCCCATCTGGCCCGGCCCTGGCCCAGGCTGTTCCAGGTGGGGCGGGGGCTGGAAGGGAGGGACTGATCTGAGAGGCCAGGGGCAGGGGCTTGCGGGCGGCGGAGCGCTGCTGCGAGGGCAGGGCTCCCCGTTTCCTCTCCGTCTGCTCCAGCGCGCGCCCTCCCCCTCCTTTGTCCTCTGGGGATCCCCAGCCCCAAGGGCTGGTGGGGGTGCAGGAGGAGGCGGTGTGAACCCGGGTTGGGGGGGTGTCCTCACCCCCCTCACTGCACGAGCGGGGGGCTGGCAGCTGCCCGCCTCCTGGGCACGAGCCCGGTCCCCAGCTCCCCGAGGACCCTCTCCCTCCGCCACGGCCCCCGCCCCTCACCGCACTTGGGGAGCCCGAGAGGCGGAGCGCAGGGAGGACCCGGGGAGCGCGCCGCGGGGGGAGGGAGGGCCGGGAGGCAAGCAGACAGACCGACAGACAGGGTGAGGGCCCCGCCTGCCACCTGGCGCCGCTCCAGCGGGACGATGGCGGGCAGCGCCGTGCCAGGCGGTAATTGCAGACAGACTAATTTAAAGAGATGAGACGGTTATTTTTAACTCGCGTTAAGGTAATGAACGGCGCGGGGGGTTTGCGGGTTCGAAAGTTCAGCGCCCCCCAGCCCCCACTTTGTGCGGTTCGAGGCCCCCTTCTCTGCATGCCTTGAGGGCTCCAGCCTCAGAACTGCTAGAGCTGGGAGGGAGGTTGAGGACCAAGAGAGGTCCTGCCAGAGGGGCAGGCCGGCGGGAGGGGGTGGGCACCGTGGTCCCCTGGCTCTGTCCCACCCCCTCAACACCACCCTTCCAAGTGCCTTATATCCCGCTCTCCAGGCGGGGAAGTGACTTGTCCTTAGGTTACATGCCTGGGAGGGAAGCAGACCTGGGAATTGAACCCCTCTTAACCCCAGGACTCAAGTTTGTCGCGTAAGAATCAGGAATCAGGGGTAGGGGCTGGAGGGACTTTGGGAGAGCGGGAGCCGTTTCTGCAGCCCATCTCCCTGTCTTTGAGTGGCAACTGGTGACGGCCCCAAGGAGGCCATGGGAGCCCGCTGCTGTGGCTTGTGAGGACTGAAGGGTATGGATGTGTGCCTCTGGGATGTGAGTGCACCGAGAGCCTCCCTCACCTCCTGGTCTCCTTACCTCCCGGCAGACTTACCAGACCCCTTCCCTACGCCTGCCTTGTGGGCCTGTCTCCCACCTGGGTGGTGGACACCTGGGAGCCAGGAGCAGGTGGGGCGAGCCTGCCTACAGATCATGCCCACTCCCTCCACCGCCATTCACGCTTTGGGCAT